AGAGAGAGAGAGAGAGGGAAAGAGGTACCGAAAACTCTTCTCACTATGCTGCCATCACCAGCAAGCATATCCATAAAAAGCTCTATAGAGGCATCTTGTTCCATTGCCATCACGTCCATAAAATCCACTTTCAGTAACATCTGGACTGTAAACGAATCAGAATTTTAAGAACTTCTTACAAGACCCCACAAAATATATCTATCCCAAGTAGCAGAACTGTCATAACTTCAACCAACAAGTAAGCTACTTAACATACCTTATCATCAACTTCTGGATAGACGGAATATTCCAGCATTGTCTTCCAGTTCATCAAGTCCAGTCGAGATATTAAGCTACAAAACCAATGTATCTACTTTATTACATAAATTACTTAAAAAGAAAACTTTTTACGTATATAGAAGTTTCTGAAAAATAAATACATAAAGAGAGCAATCAAAAAATTCAGCAACACCTGTCAGGGGAAAATTCTATTCTCTGCTGACATGTTGAGTTATCATTATCAACACCCCCGGATTGATTTACTGTTAACTTGCTCAGAACAATGCCAGATTCTGCAAGGGCTGCGAATTCATGGGGCTGAAATTTAGCAGTATTCTTATAGTTAATGCTTTGCAATACAAATAAGGCATGATGAATACGGCCCAGAGAGGGAAAGCACAGTAACCTAGTGGTATTTAGAACATATTAACCACTACGTTTTGAACTTGAACCCTTACTCCAAATGTTTTACCATAACCATATGCTTTCTCGAACAACAATTCCTGCTTCAGGCTTCCCCCAGAAAGGGGCCTACCTTGGATATAACAAAAGTCTGAGTCATTTGGACTAATGTCATCAAATGATGGGTCTGGGGAACCCGCAACATATGTAGGCAGAAATAATCGGCATTTGGCACTCCTAAGACAATCAGTAGCACCATGAGTTCAATTCTAGAGGTAAAGCTTCATCATATGGTAGAGGTACTAATGCGCACTTAATTTTAATAAATTTGTGTATAATGAAGTTAGAAGGATTCTTTATCAGATATTTTATGGATATGGTTTGTATTACCTTTCCAAAAGAGAATTTGCTTTAAGAAGCCATCGCACGTATTCTCGTCTGGTACACAATGCTTCTGGATTAACAGAGTCCTCAATTATCTGCAGGAACTTATGGTCAATAAAATTCCGACCAAAAATTTAAAGTCAATAAGTTGCTAGTAAATTGGTGGGACTTGTCAACATATTTTAACATATAAACCAATGGAAACATCAAAGTCCCTGCTGGCATATTTGGTTTCAAAATCTCACAAATCAGATATCAACTCTTAAGAAGAATATCTCAGATGGTATTTCCTTAAGCCCTATTAGAAATAATGAAATTACTGCTCAAGCGAAAAAAAAAAAAACAAACTCAACACAAAGGGGCAGCCAGCTCATTGGGCATCGGGTTAAGAGGCATTTTTCAAGAATCCGCAGGCCATGCACTACTGTGCTTTGCAGGCCACTAAGGGGGGCATACCAGCCAATGATTCAACAATTTTCGGGCCGATTGGGCATCACCCGAGTCGACTTGATATCCAGGGGTTCCCGTTTCTGGAGGGCCCCCGAATGGGGGAATCGTCCCGAGGAGTCTGAACTGACCAGTTTCCATACGGAACATGGCCAATCCCTGTGTCTCAGGTAGCCTCGGGAATTGCCTGAGTCTGACAAGAAACCCCTCATTGGGTGTTTTTCCATCCACCTCAAAAGTTGAGTCATATCTCTTCAATTTGTCGCTACTTCAGCCCAAATCTGAACCTTACAGCTGATTTTGCATTGTCTTTAGATCCTTAAAATGGTTTTTGAATCAAATAGTTATTTCTAGAATAAAAAATCCGAAATTTGATTTTTTGTTGAATTTCAACTCAGATCACCTTGGATTTCTCTGATTTGCAGTCTAACCCAATAGATCCTTGGGGATCTGATTTGTGACAATCCCAGCATCAATCTACAACTCATACATTGTGAGATTGGTGTAGATTTTATTTTTTGTTGCTTTCTTCATTTTTCACAATAAATGATTTCAATTTCTTCAAAATAATGCAGACTTTACAAATTTTAGGCCTTATTTTAGATAGATCTAGATCCTATGTACTGATTAACAGCTATATCACGCATTTTTTCTTCAATTTCGAAATTTGTTTTCAAAAAAATGTAGAAATTCTCTACAAACTTAAGAAAAAATGTAATTTTTTATTTTAGCAAGAATTTTTTGTAATTATAGTTTTTTATCATTAATAATATATGCCAGATTATTCTTTGATTTATCACATATTTTTGCGAATTTTGAGAAATTATTTGCTGATTTTTCAAGTTTATTCACTTTGCATTCAATATATTTCTAGTTTTCTGTGTAGTATTTGTTTAAATGCATTTGGGTGTGTTATGGCTTTTGTGATGCAATCACCACCCAAACATGTACAGTATGGGATGAAGCAATGGATTTTTTTAGGCATTATAATACCTCTCATATGATTTTAAAAGCAGCTAATGCCTGTTTTATCAATAATTTGTGAACAAGTAATTTTTTTGCCATTGAAATGCTCTCTATTTTCCCCTTTTTTTGGTTTTCTATCTGTGTGTAGGTGTAACCTTCTAGCAAATTACTAGACATATGTACCGCCAACCGAGGAACCTGCATGGCAGTATATGGGGTTAGATACATTCAAACAAAAAAGATAAGGTTAGGTATACTTTCTCTAGTAAAAAGGTGGGTAGCAGTATCAACCACCTTCAATATCACGTGGCAAGGATGAGAGGTGAAGTCTTTCATGTCCAGAGGTAACAAAGGTAGTGGGGACAAATGTTGGGTATTATTTATTTTTATTTTTTTGCCAACAAGAAGATGGCTGAGGAGATTCTTTTCTTTTCTTTTTTTTTTTTTGGGGGGGGAGATAAAGAAGAGGATAAGGAGTTCGAGGCCCAGCTCAAGCTTGGAGGAAGGCAAGTTTGGAAGATATGTATCCCCAATAGAGTGGTATGGACAGGTATGGAGGGGCAGGTTCCTAATGTAGGTATGGAGAGGCGGTTCCTGATGGGTCAGCACTAGTGGTAAAAGGGGTCCTTAGGGGCTACCTCGAGGCACATTACCGACAATAGGGGGATGCACTCCTAGACTCCTAGTTTGGCAAGGAGTAAGTGTTGCATGGGGGCAGTGGTGGTGAGGAGCACAGATAGGGGGTAAGGATTATAGGGTAAACTCCTCAACCCACTCAATACACTGCTCTCAATGCATATGAGCTTTGTAGGCCCTGCTAAGATGAGGAGGGCCAGTTAATTGATAAGGAGATGTAGAAGAGAAAATGGTTACATTCATGTCTAATGGCAGGAAGGACATGAAGGGGAGGATTTTTCTTAAATTCTTGAAGTATTGCCCACATGGAACAATGTTACATAGCAAAGTAGATGCCACATGAGCAGCAAAAGATGGGAAGCTATTGTTTAGTTTGTTGGATTGTGTGGTGAAGCAAGTTGCTGAGGAATACGTAGTTAGATTAGTAACTGCTGATGTGAAGAATTGCATCAACACAAGGGAGAAAATAATGAAGTTCACTGAGCATTTTGTATGGACCTCCTTTGCAACTCCTTGCACCCACCTTATGTTAAAAGACTAGCAAGCCCAAGAGCTTGAAAGAGATTTTGCATAAAGGTAAGAGACATGAAATTTATATACAACTATCCTAGTCCTAGCTTTGATGAGGCAGCATATTGATGGGAGGGAGCTAATTAGGGCTTGAGTCATACACTATGTGATCACATTCTTGTCCATGGAGTCTATTTTGAAGTGGTAAAGAGCTCAAGAAGATGCTCCTATTATAAGGATCCAGACTGCAAGGGAAGTTGAAGGCATAACTAGTAGCAGGAGGTTCTGGGATAGAAATGAGCAGATCCTAACAGCCATAGCTCCTTAAGTGACGCGCGCCATCAAAGGCTTATGTTTATTCTTTAATAGAGCAAGGAGATTGTTGATTAAAGATGGAATACCTTATTGGCCTAGCCAAATCAAGTAGCAAGTAATATGTGTTGACATGTCTTTTTTCTTTTTCTTGAGTAAAGTTCACTGTATTTCATTAGAAAGAGGAAACAAAATTACATGTCAAAAGTTTTTTCTGTTGACATGTAAAGTTTTAATATTTAAACATTTAATTATGATAAGTTTTAAATATTTAAACACTTAATTATGATTTATGATTGATGGTGTGAATGTAATTAACCACGGGATCTTCTCAATGTTAATATTTGCACAGGTTTCTTCTTCAACCTAGGATTCCACTATGTTCAAGACTAGGGACAATCAACTCACAAGGAGGTCCCAGAGGGGGCGAAACATTGCATAGAGAATTTTGAGAGAAGAAGGCGACATTCCGAAGCTCTTAAAGGAGGCAATAAACAAATTTTTGGGAAGAAAAGTTAATAACTTAGTGCACTTGTAAGTAACGTAAGCCACATTTCTAAACACTAAACCTCGTTTTAATTTGGACCATTTATCGATTTGTGTGACATCCTTATGCAGGGCCCATGCTAATTATCTCTAGAACATTCCAATAGCATACGATGTCTTGTGGGACACAAAAAAAAAAAAGTTATTCTTTTCAGAGGTTATCAGAAGCCTCCAAAGAGACATCTGATTATGTACACCTCTGACATTAACTTGGTCATAATAAACTAGAATAAAATAAGAAAGAAAAAAGAAAAAAAAAAAAAACCTTGTTCTTTTCCATGGGTTTCTATAAACATGGATGCACAAGTGAAATTTACAACTAATCTTACAAGGAAATCTCGCAGTTAGTTGGATTCAAATAGACTTCCACATCAATTTTTACAAGTTATTTCTCGTTATTTTAAGCATTAGAACCTTTTATTCAGTTCTTTATCATTTTTTCAACAAAGTGATGCCAACTGCATGAGACTAGAGCACCCCACCTACAAAGCATAGCAATCAAAGTGCTCAGTCAAACCTATTACATTAAAGGTGGGAGCAAATCCAGGAGAGCAAATTAGCCATTAAGTTTATCCTTTTATGTCTTTTATTTATTTCTTGAGTCTTTTTAATCACTTAGGGACATAAGTAGTAATGTCTAGAGTCTTTTACATATTTTTATTCACTTAAAGTCTTTTACAATAAAATGCCATGATTAAATTAAATGAATGGCCAGAATTAAGTCTTGTTTATGGTTTCTTATATAAAGGATATACTCAAACATAATGGATGATCATGTTATGGACTTTTATTCAAAAGCCTAAAGTAGGAAGTACTCTTTTAACTCTGGTTTTTGCATCTTTCTCTAGCTTTGGATCTTCCCTACCTTCTTTGCTAAACCCTAGCTCCAAGCTCTAGGTCTGCGGCACATAAGTTGAATCACTTAGAGCTCGCCATCATCAAGGTATGTGTCATCTTTACCTCCCTCAATATCAGGATCATTCCCTTCATCGGTGTGCATGATTTCCTCCTCATTTCCCTCCACAGATTTCCCTTGCAAGTGTATACCAGCTTGGTGGTTCAGACAATCATAAGATTATGATCTGTGTCCCGGCTTGCCACACTTGAAGCATACTGCCAGTTTACTACTGCTTTGGGATTATTGTATTGTGTTAGATCTGCGTTGGTATGTTTGGCCCTTAAATGACCTCCTTCCTCACTACCGAATTGATTAGAACTGTGCCCTACTGCCTCCTTGGACTTTGTAGTGGCTGTTGCTTATCTACAAAGCGACAGGCCCAGATCTGCACAACATGGTCTTGGCTTTCAAAGCAAGTTTCTACTCCTGATCCAAAGTAAAAATCTGATGCATGGACAACTTATCTTGTATTGCCACAGGCAGCCCACTAGTATACCTTGCAATCAGCGGGTCATCAATCTCCCAAATATCATTCTGAATCAACAACTGAGATAAGGGTTCTATGAAATCCTTTACCAAACCATCTTTCTGCCCTAATTGGCACTTCCAATTAAAATTATTTCTTATGTTTTTTATTCTGCACGAGGCATAGCAATTGCCCCTACCTTGAGGAGACAGGATTTGAACCGTGACCTCAAGGTTATGAGCCATATATGCTGTGGTTCCTTACTTCGACAGGGTGCAAATATATAAATTTTATCCTTTTAGATACCTTTTTTTCGGGCAGAATTTGGTAAAGGGCATATAACCTGTGGGTGGAAATTTCACCTTCATATACCTTTCCATCTTCTCCCAACTACGGACCTCTCGCTTTCCTTTTCTTATGCAATCGACCTGTATTTACTGCCACTAAAACAAAGTATGGCCTTTTAATCTAGTACCAACAGATCTTATCTTTTTATGTTCCGCCATATCCTTCCATTGAAACAATTGTCTGACACTTGCAAACCAGTCTAGGAAGTCATCTAGCAGAAAGTGTGTCAAATCTTTGAAGACAGCCTCCAAATTCGCCATGCCTCGACGGCAACCTCCCCTCATACGGCCTCTTCCATGCAACCCTTATGCAATCATCCTCGTGTTTCTAAAAACCTGGATGCCCCACTGCGTGGAGAAAATCGATATGCTCTGATACCAATTAATGCAGCACAAAGTATTGATGGACAAGATTAAACAGAAATTAGGGCTTGAAATTCAATAGATTCAGTAAGAGTGAAGTTTAAGATGCTTCAGAGCAGAAAAGTCTCCCTTCAATGACAAACTCAGCAAAACCACTATCAAACCTCTTTACAAAGTTTTCAATCGGCACTCTTCTAAACCCTAAATTATAATAAAACGCCAACTACCCCTAATAATCAATAAATTCCAAACAATTCTCAAAAACCCCACACCACCCCTAAATAATATTGTAAATTCCAGAAATACCCTGTGAACAGTAACCCATGAATAATAATCCATGAACAGTTGAATAAATTCCATGGAAAAGAGAAGTTTTGGCCAGAAAAAGGGCAAATGAGGTTTTAGAAGAGAAAGGGAAGGTCCGATTTCCATGCCATAGAGAAGTATGGGTAGAAAGAGGAGCAAGACTTTGTTAGCTAACTCTCCCGAATCTGAGACTAGGAATTTGGCTCTTCTAATGGGTAGGACAAAGATTAAAGGGGATGGGGTTACACAGGCCATTATGGATACAATTCGCGAGAAATAAGAGGGCAAAGAGATTGTCAAGCCACCATTTCTCATTCCCACCTTAAAAAACCTGAAACAAGACTACATTTCCTGGTGAGATTCCGGCATTAAGGTCACTGAAACTCATCCCCAGCTTTTGCAGGGTTATTCCGTCCTTAAAAGGTTGAAGGCGCTTTTTACAGAGAGAGGGGGCTCATTCCCTTTGCCGGAGCTTAGAGTCCATAAAATATAAAGTTATCACAAGTAAAGAAAAAATGTTATTTTATAGAGATTAAGTTATACAGAATACCACCGGCATGTCCATCATGAATAATTTTATAAGGGACTTCACCAACAACAAATATATTTTCATCACGAGTATTTTTAATCTGAACAATGAATTACCAGTGATTATGGGTGCACCCAAACTGGCCCTTAGTATCTATTAAGCTCTCAAAAGTTTCATTAAAAATAATTAGCTTTTTTCAGAAACTAACACAAAATCATTTTCAGATATTTTAATATTTTCCCATTTTATTTCATCAAGGAGCGACCAGCAGGACTCTGCAGGCCTGATGAGGACTCATCGAGGCCACACACCCCAGACCAGGCCTGAGTCCAGAGCTAAGTCCAGGTTTTCAAACACTAGCACAAAAAATATGGCTGAGTTGACCATCATACTCATCAGTTCCCAAATGGTCAGACACAGGGTTCACCTGCCAAAGTGATGGAATCAGATACTAAACTTGCAATGAGTTGGTGCAATGAGAATTCCAAGCCAGGATTGAAGTTCTCCCACCTCATAACATGGATCAAAGAGGTTCAATGTGATTTCCAGGACCTATCATTTGCCCATATTCTTAGGGAATTGTCCAGTCTGTAAAATTGGGCCTTGCTCCTCAACACTATGGACCACATTCCTTCACAGGAATACAATAGATGGGGACACAAAACCTGGCAAACTTAGCTAGAAATAAAAGAGAAAATTTTCACAAATATAAGGTGAACAATCCACAAATGGAACTCAAGAATAACAAAGACATCAGTTTTGAAAAACCCAAGAGAACTTACTTTTTGCCAACAACATGATACACAAAGACGAATTTAGAAATTCTAAGTAGACTTAAGTGAAATCCTTACATCGATAGAAGATTTTAAAGGATAGACTATTTACAAAACAAAAAGAAATTAACTAATGTCTATGCAATTATCCTTTGCAAAAAAAAAAGTAAGAAAAAGAAAAATTCAAATTAACGAAGAGAAAGGTGCACTAATGTGAGCTCCCCATTACAACTAACAATAAATGTTCATAAATCACTTTGCTTACTAGCTCTGGAGGGTCATACAATCCATACTTGTATTAGAAGAAAAATACCAAACAAACCAGTGTTGCAAAAACATGACGGATGTCACCTAGGCAGTAGGGGGGGGGAGGTTGGGTTTCCTGGTGCCCAAAGCACCCACCAGGTTTCTGGACGACCCAGGTGGAATAAGAAAGGTAGGAGGTGTTTGATTCAACTTTTTTGGGTCTAAACTCTGTGTAAAAACTAAAAAATGCATATTGAGGCATAACGCATTAAGAATGCATAACATATAGTCCAACCATTGTCCATACACAGTAAAACAATGCATATTGAGGTGAGGTCGAAAGTATTTGAGATTTGGACAATTAGTCAATAAATCTTTAAGCAAAATAGGAAAATATAATCCAACATTCAAAATTTTCAAATTCAGTCATCAATTCAAAATTTTGTAAATGGAAAATTTTAATTTTTTTGAAGTTTATCTCACTCTAAAATATGAAAAATGGGGTTAGGTTACATAAGCGAACCAACCAACACCCCCCACCCCCCCCCCCCTTTTCCTTTGGCCCCCTTAATTTTGGAAAAAAGAGACGCATTTTCATCTCTAGGCGAGCGTAGGCATTAGGCCTGCCCAGGGGTAGGCGCTGGGCACCTGCCCAAGGAGGCTCTGCCTAGAGGTGCCACCTAGGCTGGGAGATGCACCCAGGACCCTCTGGCCCACCTAGGCAGCCATCTTAGGTGCTAGATGGGCTGTTTTTTGAATCCTAACACAAGCTAAAATATCCCCCTTCCCCATGCAGTCAAACTCAATATATCAAGATAAACCGGTGCCACAAGACTAGCATAGAGAGAGAAGCAAGCAAATACTACAGCAGAAATCATTGCAAATAACAAACCTTCAATTTCTTGAGGACTGATACAGACTCCTGTTGAGTGGAATCAACAGCAAGTGGGATAATTAATGATTCAAGCTTTTGTGTTGATGCTGTGGCACAAAAGATTCTGCATTAGGGATTTCGGGGTAATAAGGACTATCTCCAACAAAGAGATGCCCATAAAAGTAATGAATCTACGGAACAAAGAATATTTACATAGTTGCAGGAAAACAAGAGGTGTGCGGAACTGAGTTCTTTTCTTTCTAACGTATTTTCAGATGAATTTTATCCTGGGTATTCAAACAAAAGTTTGAGTGATAGATTGCATGATATAATAAAGTGGTTAGAAAAGAAAAAAATAACCTACACAAGATTAGAAATTGAATTTCTATGAGCATTATTAAACAATCATAATTAGAAGTTTAGAGATCAAATGCATGCCTTTTGTGAGGCTAACAATGTCACTGCAAAAGTACCCCTCTAGTACATAGCCAATACCAATCTATACAAATTCGGATCTTCAATTCGACAACACCCAGAATTTATCTAGCAGTTTTTACAATGCTTACAATTTGGTAGATGTCATAAAAGTTAAAGGGTCTTTTCCTAGAGAAAAGCAGCAGAGAAAAAAAAACTATGAGAATTCCATATCTAATGTGGGGTTTCACTATCATTCAAGGACATCAGGTCAATCATATTGCAACCTAACAAATTTCAGAATTCATGCCACACAATCTTGACAAACTTTCTTAAACTATTATGCAAAATGATCTCCATAAAATTTCTTCCAATATCAAAGTTTCCCAAACTATTACGCAACACAATCTCCATAAACTTTCTTCCAATATCAAAGTTTCCCAAACTATTACGCAACACAATCTCCATAAAATTTCTTCCAGCATCATTAGTTATCAAAAAGCATATCATGATAAATCAGCACAAAACTTCAATATTTGCATAATGTCAACAAAAAATTCCAAACTAGGAGGTGGCAATCATGGACGACCAAGTTCTACAGTATCCCACTTTGTCCAGTTATGGCAACCACATGTAGCAACATTGTGAAGCATAGAGCTCTTCCAAAAGATGTGATGTCACATTTCATTTTCCCTTGTAAGGCAACCATAAATGATATTCAAATCCTATCTATTAGCTAGATAAATGTGCCTTTTCCTATTCACAATGAAAATGGTTTTCATCAGTGTGGCTGAGCCCAGGCAGAATCAGGGACCTCTAGTCCATGAGATTATTGTGATAACCGACTGCAACAAAATCCTATATATTATAAACTAGGCTCTATTTGCACATCATTGTGCAATTGTTTATAAACAGTAATATAAAGGGCAGAATGGCCCCAAAGCTTGGGCTAGCTACATAAGGAAAAAAAAAGCCTCGATTTGTATATCTCCAGAGTCCTAAATGGTTGACCAAAATATGAACATATTTCGCAGAAATATTGATTGACCTTACAACTTAAGTGGGTAAGTGAGGCATTTATTCATTGAATATGAATGAATGCATTTTTTTAGCCTTTTTATTAACTAATAAGTTATAGTACACCATGGTTTCTTTTGCCCCTACTGTTTTTGGAATTGTTAACTTTGTTGAAAGAGAAAGAATGTACAGAGTATAAATTGGCAGCCCACAGCCTGGGTGGTCTATACAAAACCCCACAGGAGGGTGCCCTATACGAAAAGGATGAGCTGTATCTCAAAAATTGCTATACATCATAACACTGAGTAAGCCATAAATACATAAAATACAACAAAATCGAAGCTCAAAAAGGTGCTAATAAGGTTCCCTGAGTGCGGTCTTTAGTTGCTCCCACTTTAGCGAGGGCGTTGGCTGTAGCATTGGCCTCCCGCCAGGTATGCCACCATAAGATGTGTACAGGCTTGCAAATATGGAAGAACTCATCAAAAACATGCGCTAATCTTCAAGGACAAGCGGAGGAACGTGAAGCCAGCCAATAATGTTTTTGGCGCTCCTCAATAACCAAAATTGGACTCCAAGTAGGATTAAAATTCCTTAAGACCTTCGAGTGCTGCAAGAACCTCCGGCTGTGGTGGAATCGGCGTGCCACAAGGATTGGGAGAAGGAAAAAAAAAGTGTTTCGTCTAAGTGTTTTGGTCTTTTTATCATATTAACTTCCATTTATGTTCATTATTTACTTTTTTGGTGTGTCATTGGATCTAGAATTTTCTTAATCCAATCCAATATCAAATCCCCATATAGTGGGCTTATTGTATCAGTTAGAATGAGTGTCATATCTCTTAAAACCTTTATCTGAGTGTTCACTAACCTTCTGCTTTCCCCATAGTCCAACCAACTCAAAAAGTAGTAAAAAGTCAATAACCAGCTCTTCATTAACAGCCAAATTGGGATCCTCATGACTAGGAAATGTAAGCCATAATCCAATGAGTAATAATCCAAGTGGGCATCCACCATCCACTCCCAATGATGACCACACAGGAACTAACTGTACCTAGGTGAATGCCCCACCTAATAATGTTAGTTTCCACCATGCGTCAACTAGGACAATATACCCCTCCAAACCAGGTATAGGATACTCAATTAGGTTACAGTAGACCATTCCTTAAACACTAAACCCAGTAACCATACCATGACTTATGCAGAATACATAACCATCGGTTTATCACCAAGCGGTGCAACCCCATCCTCGTGTTTCACAACCAATAACAGGACTGACCACAAGCTGAATTGTAAAACCCCACTACAAGGATTTTCATAGAACCTAAAAGTCCAAAACCCACCAATTCCAAGCCACTAATTGTGATTCTTAACACTCTGCCTGTCCAGGCCAACAGATGCCCCCCTAGACTTGAATGTTACAAACAATACAACAGACAAATGCCACATACCTCTCGCAGAACACGATACCATTACGATATTTCCAGCTAAGATTCAAATCAGTCAGATGTGAACGACCCAGTTCCATAGATGGATGCAAAGGAATGGACCACAGTAGTCCACAGACATAAAAAGTAACAAGGCAACAGAAAAGAGCACCTCATAGCCAAACAGCCTAGGAGATGCAACACCTCAGGCCAAGTTGTACCCACAACTGCCAACCTAGCACCTCCGACCCATGAACTACCCAATCAACCATCCATGTGACTCTCAAATCCACCCATGTACCCGCCCGTTGCCATTACATCACAACAAACCCCCCACCCCAGAATCACTCTCCATCAAATCCTAACCCAAGTGACCATGTCACCAAAACCACCAACCTGCCCCAAACTGGTCCCACCAAAACCAAATTTCACACCTAAACCACGTATCACAAAACCATCCACCGCTATACCACCCATCAGATCAACATACAAATCCCAACATACCCAACCCCAACCCTAACACGCATGAATTAATTGAGAATCATGCAACTATCCCAGTATTAATGGAGAGCCAAAGCCCAATATCCGGCAAAACCATAAAAGCTAATGACTGAGCAACACATGCTATGGAGCCAGACTTCACCCTGTCGGATGAGGCAGAATTTTACGTATCCAATGACCCCACCCCGTCTGACGAGGATACAACACCTCAGCACAGAGTGGAGGTCCCACAGCCAACTCAGACTACACACCCCCTCCAAGGAGCTGCTCTATGTATCTCTCGATACCCAAAATGTGGTCATACCACCAAGGAGAGACACACGTGTCACTGACACCCTGCTTGAGGTCAATCACACCCCAACAGAAGAACCATGTGGTAGACAAAGATGTGGCTATCCAGCTCAGTAATAGGCGCCCACAACCATCCATGGTAGCTGATTCAAACACTAAGGTGCCACTCTTCGGCTTTACATGAGGCCCACCAATGTTCCTAATCATCACCCAACTCAGCCCCTCACATTCCCCCCCTCGAAAAAAAACAACTCAGGCCCACGCTTTCAATCACCAACCCACATGCTTGGACAACATTACATCGACGAAATACCTCCTCCCCCGAAACCACATATAAGGCCTCACCTACTCAAACTTTCTATTCTCTCCCAACCAATGAGCCCAACAACACCCTCACCCAGCACAACCACACCACAACACCCTCCAAACACCTTCCCCTTATCAATGCGCCCCCCCCGGACCCCGAAAAAAAAAAAAAAAAGAAACACACCCCTCTTTTTGTCTCCTAAGGGGCCAATTCTTCTGCCCTACACAAGGCCCACCAGTGATCCTAATCATTACCCTACCCAGACCCATCATTTCCCCCCATAAAACAACCCAGCCGCATGCCTTCAATCACCAACCCACATGATTGAAGCAACACCACATCAATGAAATACCCCCAACACTACATATAAAGCCTCGCCTACTCAAACCGTCTATTCTTTCCCAGCCTTTCCTCCAACTAGTAAGCCCAACAAGACCCTCATCCAGCACAATTACACCAGCTCCAGCAATAGTAACACACCCCAATATTGCAGCCCCTGCAGGTCCATAAACCGTCCTCCCCACACCACATCCGCTACTGATACCCCCGCCCCCTTGGCCCGCATATCTCCCCAATGCTCTCCATGCTCCCCCCCCCCCCCCCCCACAACCACCAAAAATTCCAAACACTGCCATTTCCCATGACCCAAACCCCCCAATATTGCAGCACCAACCGGTCCACAACCTCTCCCCCTTCTATTGCAGCACCAACCGGTCTACAACCTCTCCCCCCACTATTGCAGCGCCAACTGGTCCACAACCCACCTTCCCACACCATATCCGCTACTAATACCCCCACCCCCTTGCCCCACATATCTCCCCACTGCTCTCCATCCAACCCCCCATTCCAAACACTGCCATTTCCCATGACCCAAACCCTATACAACCTCAAAGACCCTATCTACGTGTTCGCGGACATCCATCAGAGAGCTTTACCTTTTCTCTTTCCACCTCTCTACCTCCCCCCCCTGCCCTTTTTCTTCTCTCGTTTGTTTCTTTCAATCCTTTTAACAACCCCTTACCACCTTTCAACCCATTAACACCACTCTGACCCCACCACTGAAATCCATCGCACCTACCCCTATGACTACCCAAAACCTTTTCCAGCTCTTTAACCTACAACCTCATTTGCGACATTAGAGGCCATTGGAGAA